TCCAGAGTCAGTTCAACGACAGCATACAGACAGATTCTTACTGCCAAAGAATACCTTATGTACAGAAACAATCCTTGGACCCAACAGCCTTTGAATGCTCTGTAACTGAGTAGTATCATGGTATTATTAAATAATTTTAAAAAGTCAATTATAGCCTTATAAATGCAGTATGTGACACTGGAAAGTTCTCAAGGAAATCAGTTTGAGGACGGTGACCTTCGATAGCATGCATAGTAAGTTAAAATAATCAAATGAAATCAGTTGTTCTAAGAAGAAACAAACAAGATAAAGGGAAGGGAAGTTTATAGAAACGTTGTTTTTGAAAATAAAGACATCCTCAAAAGAAATCCATGTGAAATAGTAAATGTATATAAACAACTAAAAATTCAAATAAGAATCTCGTCTTCCATGGGAAATCTCAAAAAATGATGAAGCATTTATTTACAACACAGCTAAACACTCCCTGGAATAAAGAATGAAGTGGAATTAACAGCAAGATAAAAACGTGGACCATTAATTCACAGAAATCATCTTTCAGTATTTTCAAAAGTTATTCTAAAACTTTAGTACTACTCTAATTTGAGGTGTGGGGAGAAAAAGGAGAGATTTATGTGCCTTTTACTGAGTCACTTTTACTCATGCTCAGCCTTGACATTATTCTTTTCTTTCAACTGTGTGGATATATCTTGGGATGAATAAATAATTTGCAAATATATGAGTCAACAAAGAAAGAAATGCAGAGTTGCAAAATGATAATGGAAATTACAGGGGTTATAAAATATCATATATTGTGTTGCCATTAAGACGAAAGGAATACGGGAAGTATAAATAACCCACATCATTTTTTAAAGGACTGCTTTTTAAATATTCTTTGTGAAAGCATAACTGATAAAAGTCCAGTCATCTTTCATGTGAAATCATTCTTCTCAATAAGCAACTTGCTAAAGTGAAAAACCAGAAATAGACAACAGTGGCATTGTTTCATTCAATACTTCTGAATGAAATGTCACATCCTGCCTACAGTCTCATACATGAGTCAAATGTTGAATAGCTTTTCATATGCAGGTGTTAGCCATCAAAGTGTAAAAGTCTATAAAAATAATCCTTCCATCATGGAATAAAAAGAAACTGCAAAGATAGGAAACACTTATGATATTGCCAACTTATTGTGATCTTCACAATTTATGAAGTATTTTCAAGTACATACTCAATTTAATTGTCCTAAGAATGCTGTAATCTACCATGCTTAATCCTCTTTCTCTGATATAGATACCTAACATCATTAGATGACTTGCCTAAACTCTCACAGATTGTTAGATCTTTTGCTGTTTAAATCAAGTGGTAGAGAAGTGACTAGTCTAGGAAAAGGCAGAAAAAGATGTGGGAGAAAATAGTATGCTATTTGCAAGAATGGTTTAGGGCTTGTCTTATTAAGTGACTTTACTTGCTGTACTTACTGTGAGATGGAACAGAACAAGACGTCAGAGAACAAAAAGGAAATACTCGGTTGAAAGAACTTCAGTAATCCTCAGGTTTACAGAACAGTTTAATATTATTTCTGATTGTAAATTAGTTATGCAACGTTCTGCAAAGTAAAAGGGACCAACTTACTCAAATTCCATGTTGAGCCAGTAAGAAAGCTGGGGCAAATTTGGTCTTCTAACTTCTATTGAAAGCTGAAGGTGAGGGGGAGCGAAGTTGAGGAGCGGGATGAGCTTGCAGTGGATAGGGCATGGGTAAGGATAATTTACTTGTTTAATCCTACTTACCAAATCATCCAACAAATACTTCATGAATATCACCTTGGTGAGAGACAATTTGCAAGACTCAGGGAGGATATCCACAGCCCATTTTAATGACAAAGGTGATTCTGGCAGGATCTTAAAATATTAGATTCCAACATCAACATTAGTGTATCATTGGTGTACTAACATCTTTATAGTAGCTTTCAAAGAGGCTGAAAACTATTAAAATTCATTTTAAAGTGGAAGAGTTATTTGGAGGAGCTAGTGTGCTGAAAATTGATTGGTACATAGAAATACTCTCTGATCAGGTAATCACTCCATCTATTTTCTTATTTCAGGGAAATCTTACCAAAACACTTTTTCTTTGGATAAAGATGACTCTTAGTTGTAGATCTTCTAAATATGTAAATGAACTAAGCATCTCAAATAATTCATTTTCCCCGGAATCAACCTTCTTCATCCATCTCTCAAACTTAATTTTTTGCAGTCAGCTGCTACTTACAAGACTAGTTTAGCTCTAAAAATAAAATCTACCAAATGTAATAATTTTTTGAGCCTCTCTTCCATGAAAATGATTTCACTTATGTTAAGCCAGTTTTTTAAAAATATGTTTATGATTTTGTTTTTAATTGTCTCTTCATGAGAAAAATTGATCAAACCTACTTAAAAATCTGACCCAGCAGTATATATTTACCAAAGCAAGCCTGCATGCGTGTGCAAAAGCAGGCATTTAAATTACTTCTGTTTTCATTATCAATGTGTCTAAAAATAGGAATTTTCAAAAAAGAGTACCCATTTATTGATTTGTTTTCTAAACCATGCTAATGAACACATTGGAAAAATCCAGAAAAAAGCCTATTTTTTGAGACAAGATGCTCTTATAATACAAAAACATTTTAACAGCACAAAAATTCATTTTTTCCTCAAAATCCTAGGGCCAAATGATACTCCAGGAAGAGGAACCATTTTATTCTGTAGTTTAAAAAATCATCGCCTCATAGATGAAACACAGTGGACGCTATTTTGTTACTTTTCCACTACCATATTGAGATTCCTTGGTCTGGAGCAGGGCTGTTATGTTCCAATCTAAAAGATTATTTTATCTAGAAAGGCTGTTGCCAAAATACTTTTTATCCTTTTTTAATGGAAATGGTTTTATTCTCAGCTCAAATAAGTTCCCATCATTAAAAGTATTGAAAACAGGGGGCTGGCCCAGTGGCGCAGTGGTTAAATTCGCATGGTCTGCTTCAACGGCCCCGGGTTCACGGATTGGGATCCTGGGTGAGGACTTAGGCACCACTTATCAAGCCATGCTGCAGTAGGTGTCCCACATATAAAGTAGAGGAAGATGGGCATGGATGTTATCTCAGGGCCACTCTTCCTCAGCAAAAAGAGGAGGATTGGCAGTGGACATTAGCTCAGGGCTAATCTTCCTCAAAAAAGATCAATAAATAAAAATAAAAGTATAATGAAGAAAACATAAATCATATGTGTCTAATCAGTCTATTTTCAGTTCCTGTTTATCTGCTTTCTCTCTTTTTCTTGCTAGCTATCTTTCCCTCTCTCTTTCCTTTCTATATCACTATTTTATTTTCCTCTTTCTTTGTGTTTTAATGAAAAATGAGATATTACACAGTTTTGTAGCTTGCTTTGTATATTCAATACTAAATCAAGCATTTCTTTCCATGACAATAAATTCAGACTTACATCATTATTTTAAATGGTATCAAATATTTCAGTACTTGAAGAGTAAAAAATTGCTGGCTTTTATCAGTAAATTGATTAATCAATCCTACGTTGAAGTATTCTCATTTTGTTTCCATTTTGTTCAAACTATAAACATAGTGAAGAACATTGTAAAGCTGATGATTTTTTAACTGTAAATTTTAACAATAGAACACCTGGTACAATGGTATGCATATTTTGGGAGTTTTGATCTATTTTATCATATTGACATTTAGAAAGTATACGTCAGATCTATACTCCTATCAAGGAGCTATGGGAGTGCCTTATATCCTCCTTTCTACTGGTTCTTGGTCTTAAAATTCTGCCATTTGTAATGATCGCTGATGCTTTCATATAGTGATTCTACTGTTTGCCTTTGATTCATAATAATGTTGGAAATACTTTTAGATCTTGTTGCTCATTTGTATTCCAGATTTTATGAGGTACTTGTTCATCTCTTGAATTTATCTTATTTTAAGTAACTTATCATGTATTTTATGTACTGAGGATGTTTAAACTTTGTCTTATTTCTTATAAATTCTCTTTTCCAATGTGTCATTTGTTTTTCAATCTTGATTATGGTATTTCAGCCATTCATATTTAGTTCGATATGCTCAAATCCATTTTTCCCTTTATATGTTCTGATATTGGAATGACATTTGAAATGCATTCAGTGCTATCTATTAGATGGTTTTCTGTTACTTTGCAGGCTAGTGGGGAGTTCCTAAGGAAACATCAAGAATATCAACTGTTGACAGCTGCTCCACTAATTTGACCATCCCCAGAGTGTTACACAGCCTGAAAATATTTTTATTGATGGGGCCCAAGTAAATGATCTATTTGCTTTCTGTCTATTAACACATGTATTTCCCACAACACCCTCTTGATATTGGTTACTATTATCATTCCTATCTTACATATGGGGAAACTAGGACACAAGAGGTTAAGACACTTTACTAAGTTTGCACAGTAGAAATTGGCAGAGCTGAGCTTTGAACCCAATCTGTCTTATTTCAGAATTCTCACTCTTAACCCCTTCACTATTACTGCCTCTTGAGTGAGTCTTGGCACTCTCTTTAATGAGCTTCCCGGTAGGTCCCCTGGGTGACTGTGTGGCCAAGATGTATCCGTTTTGGAAGCTCTAACTGCTTATTTTAAGCTTCACTTACACGAACCTCATTTATGACTTTTCCTGAAGAGAATGATTGCGTTTTAAAACTGCACTAATTTCCATGTTTCTAGCTTCTGTTATAGGCTCAACTTAAGTTTTTTGTCTGTCCTTGGACCACTGGGAATTGCCAGAAGGAAATTTTCTTTGACTCCCTAGCATAGGTATTCTAAATGCTGGTTTTAAATAGAATGGCATTCTTTGGTACATTCAAATTATTTACAGAGAAATGTAGCTTTCTCCCCAAACTTTAACTTTATTGTACATTTTATTATGCCTTTCAATGAAATATGATTAATTAATTAATAATTGTGAACAAGCCTTGGGTATATTTATCATTACTTTGCTTCTGCTTCTTTCAGATATGGCATTTTCACAGACTTCAAAGACGTTCCTGTGTGGCATAGTGCAGGAACAGGTCACACACTGTTATGGCTGGTATTCACTCATTGTCCTCATCACTGGCTGCTTTAGAAAATTCTTATTTAACAGCGTCAATTTTTCTAAGAGATATTGACTATTTAGAAGACGTATTAAATTAAGGTATATACATGGAAGACATAGGATGACAAGAAAAGAGCCCTAAATATAAAGTTAGAGGGCCTAGGTAATATTTTATTTTTCTCACTTCATAACTTTGCGATTTCAAATGTTAAGCTTTCAAATCTTGGTTTCCTAAACTGTAAAATGTAAATAATAAAATATATCGCTTATATGTGACACAGATATTGAGATAATTGGAATGGAAATGAAGAAATGAAGTAATGGTAGGTGAATATAATTTATTAATAGCACCCTGTACAAATATGAGATCCTTTGTGTTATTTTTTTTCTTCTTTTTTTTCTTTGAGGAAGATTAGCCCTGAGCTAACATCTGCCACCAATCCTCCACTTTTTGCTGAGGAAGACTGGTCCTGAGCTAACATCTGTGCCCATCTTCCTCTACTTTATATGTGGGACACCTACCACAGCATGGCTTGCCAAGCGATGTGTAGGTCTGCACCGGGGATCCTGACTGGCGAACCCTGGGTCACTGGAGCAGATTGTGTGAACTTAACTGCTGCCCCACCGGGGTGGCCTCCTTATATGTTATTTAATATAGAATCATCAATAAAAATTATAGAGATACCAGAAAATGTATATAGATAATGACAAAGTGTATATTCTTAAGTTTAATGATTTTTTATTTAAATTTAAAAACACACATCCAATATTACTGATTTTACTGTAGTTCTATATAGCCACTTTTGGGATAGATTATTGAATAAAGATAATCTCTCTTTGATGAGCAAATATTTACCATTATACAGTAAACCATTCTTAAATATGTTTTTGTATTGCAACTTCCTGTTAAAATTGGGGAAGTCAAAATTTGCGTGTCTGTGTGTGTTGTGGGTGTTTTATATGTGTCAGTGAAATTAGGTTTAACTTGTAACTTATGTGTGTGTTAAATAATTTGCCTATTTGTTTCCTCCTCATTTTGTGTTTTTAATGGATTTCATTAGTTTTGGAAGAAATAATACATTCTGAGTGAATTCAGTGATTTGGAATCAAGATTTATTTACACAAATCATTTTATTTCACAAAAAAACTGTTTCTAAAAGTGATTGCTAATTATTCTCAGAGACAAAAAGATGTGTCTCTTTATTACCAGGAATGGCTGGCCATGTTTTGCTCTGAATACAACACCTGGGGAATATCATCTGAGGGTGACTTTGGTTACGGTGCTTTTTAAGACTGCTTTTAATTGCTTTTGCATCGAGCTGTATTCATGAATGTGCATTCATCAAAGAAAGCAGAGCAATGTGACATTTTCAAGTTTTACTAAGTCAACTAGCATCCGTTGCCATAGTACTCAGAAGTGAGGGAACCAGGAAAAGGCAGAGCTGTTTTTCATTATGTGTTGAAAGATGTCAGCAGGATTAAAGTGTCAGAGCAAAAAGAAAAGGAAAAAAAAGATGAAGAGTAAGAGAATTACTTTGCAAACGGTTATTAATGAATAGAAAAAGCAAACAGAACAGCCAACATTTTGCGGAAGAGGACAAGATATGGAAAAGATGTATTTAAAGGAGCAGTGACTTTATTGTTTTTAAAAAGCATACAAAATGTCTGAACCTGCCCCTTCTTATGTAAAAACGAAAGTAATCTCCATTCACCTAATGTTTCCTAATTTGGGAAGACTCTCTCTTCTGTTAGAGAATGCATCAAGTTGGTTTTCTGCCTTAGATAGAAAAAAGATGTCTGAGAATTACTTTGTGCTCTTAAAATATCCTTTGAGTGAGATTAATATTCAAGCATGTACTTGATAATTAGGTCTCCAACTTTGTAAATATGTATAACATGTAAAAATAAAGATCCAAACTGATTTAAATAGGCTGGCTTCATAACCTGTCCTTATAATTCCTTGATTTCTCAGTGTCTATGAATTTTGATAATAATACAATATTTATGATATAAACAGGCCACACATTTGTGTCATCATTATTCTGATCGCTCCCTCTTCCAAGATCATGATTTCTGAAATTTCTTTTCCTGATCTCTTCTTACTAACCTGGGGCCTCTCATTTTCTCATAAGCTGAATTTTGTCCTCATCCTACCAACAACTCAGAGACTTGACCTCCTTCCGTACTTCTGCTTGATTCCAGAATCTCCATGGCTTGACTTTCTGTCGTAACATCCATTTAATCCCTCACCCCTCTTCCTGATCTCTGAGCACTGCTGGAGAAAGCTAACAAACGAGGTTGATTGGATTCACTACAAACCCAGGCTGCCAAATCTCATGCAGATCTGCATCTCTGCTAGGGTTTCCCAATTTCAATATTTTCTCTTTCAAATATTTTCAAGTCTCCTTAACTTTATCCTAGTCTCCCATGCACATTCTGAAATTATTCTGTACTCCTGCTCTATACTTACCACTAATGGTAAATGAAATGATGTCCTTCAGCTTCCCGGCTTCACCAAAAAATGTATCTTGGTTGTCACTCTCTTTTTTGAAATTTTCCGTCTCTCTGAATGAATATCAGACCCTTTATCCAGGCTCTTAATCTCATCTTTTTCTATTCCAAATTGGAACTAGGAATCATGATGGCTTAAATAGGACCCTAACTTAGCAGTAATGCAAGCCTAAGGAAAATCCTTTATACTTTACCTGTGTGTAAAATCCATGCAACGTTATTCTAAGACTTTCTTCAGGAAATCTTAGCCATTTAAAATCATCCCTTTAATATTATGGTTCCGATTGGAACTGAAGGTTAATGGCTACCCAAAGCCAAGTGTTTTTTTAGTAAAGACTGAGTTAAAATAAGCAATAAGTAAACAAACAAACCCCCTCAGCATAGGCACTACTTTGAAGGGTCCTTCTATATCTTTTGTCTTTTACAATTAACAAGAGTCTGCAAATAGTAGCTCATATGAATTGTTCACACCATTTTACTGAAATAATCATCTATTAGAACATTGTTCACCAAAAACTCTCATGATAGAAATATGCTTTATTTTCTTACTACAATTAGAAAAATTGAAATTGGGGCTGGACCGGCAGAGTAGTGGTTGGGTTCATGTGCTCTACTTTGATGGCCTGAGGTTTGGATCCTGGGTGCAGACTGACCCACTGCTCATCAAGCCATGCTGTGGCAGTGTCCCACATACAAAAAGGAGGAAGATTGGCACAGATGTTAGCTCAGGGACAATCTTCCTCAAGCAAAAAGAGGAAGACTGGCAACAGATATTAGCTCAGGGTCAATCTTCCTCACCAAAAAAAAACAAAACAAAAAAGAAGAAAGAAAAAGAAAAATTGAAATTGAGAAAGGGATTTCCCTAGACCAAAGGGGAAAGCAAGTACGTTCCCAAATAGATTAAAATAAACTTTCATCTTGTAATTTAGTGTTAATCTCGGGGAGGCATATTGTTGATAATAAAATTTTTCAAATGCAGCCCATATTATTATGGAATGATGACACAGCCAAGTCTTTCTTTGCCATGTCAACATTAAGGTAGAAGGACTTCTGAGATGAAAATGTCAGACTCAGCTGAAATGGTGACTCAGAAGGCAGAAATTCAAAAAATGGACTTCTAGTAAATTTTGCCAAACTGCCTGAGGCACTTCCCCATCTGTATGTGTAACATGCATTCAGCTATTGTAAAGTTTCTCTAACAGCCCTGGGAAGTGCTAAGACGGTAACAAGGAAGATTGATAGCAGATTCCATGCCTCTTTGTTAATCGCATTAAGAACGCTGCTTTATACTCTCATGTTGTGTCTGAAAATATATATGTCCACCACACCATATTGAAAATTTTCACCCTATTACCCATCTGCTGCCAGTAAATGACCAGTTTAAATGAAAAAGAAAAATAGGTGAAGGGGATGTGAGACTCAAAGATTTGCCAAGCACACCATTTTCTCGCTCTCATTCTTCTAATAACCTTTTGGGAAATGAAAGAATCTAACACATACCACATTTTGAAATGTTTCCTTAGGGGGTCTGAATCATATTTTGTGTAACTTGAGTTATGTGATAATGACAAGCATGTCTCCAAAAATCAGAATTGATAATTTTAAACACATAGATTTGGCATAGTGACTGTTATTTGTTTTTCATCATAGAGTTTATGATGAAACAGTACTAGAATCTTGAGTTTATGAAAATGTATTTCCTTCCATTTAGCTGGAGGAGTTTCTCATACTGGTTGATCAGTTTCCAACCCCTATAGTTGCATAAATAAAAAGCCCGTAAGAGTTGCAGCAAGAGGAACAACTAATGATGAGTACATTTCATCAGTTGGGGAGACAAAATTTATTTCTTCAATTACTTTGTGAACATCTGCAGGTTATAAAGAGGAATGTGCATTAACACAGTTAACCATTATTTTCTCTTTTAATTGCATTCATGGATTAATTTTTATGTATTCTAATCAGTTTTTTTCTGGTGTCAGAAGTTAAAGGCAATACAAAACTTATTTTCCTGAATAAAGAGATTACTTGGATAATAAATTTTTTTCACTGCTTTTGGAAATAATAAATAATATGAAATAATTCTATAACAAAGATACAATCAGTCATACCAGTAAGTTGTTCATCAGAAATATTTCACAAAGACTAGACCTGTATCTAAATTGGAGGAAAAATTACTTAGTTCAATAGAGCAGTTGAAATATTCTCTCATAGTGGAATGACCAGTTGGAACTGGTAAACAGTGTAGCACAGTTGTCAAATGCAAGGGATCAGTGGGTCAGACCCTGGCTGTGCCACTTTCCAGTTGTGTGATCTTGGGCAAGTTTCTTCATCTGTACAAGAACGCTAAAAGCTGTACCAGACTCTTAGAACTCTTGTAAATACTAAATTCACAAATCAGAAAGACTTTACTACTGTATATGTACTATCCCATTGTTCAAAAATTTTGTGAATAAAAATGTACAACCCTATAGATGGGTCATGAATGAGCCCTAAGAATACTAATTACTGGGTAGAATTATGGAATATCCATGGAAGAGATCTCAGCTCTGGAGAAGCACATCCTAAGAGAAAGAGCCTATGTCAGGGAGGAGAATCAAACTCATTTTTACCTTAATGGATATAAATGTCTCATTAACTATATTACCAGTGAGCATTTTTATGCATATAGCTAATTTTCTCAGCCAAGACTAGAACCAGACTTCATGTCTGCTCCTAACAGGGATGTGTGTCCTCCTAAGAAATACAAACTAATTTAAGCTTGAATGGAAGGAAAACACAACAGAAAACATACTAGTTGTATGTTAACAAAAGATCAATCAATTTCATACATAACAATCCAAAATATTTTAGACTAGATACTTTACTCTTTCTTTCTTTTAGAATAGATAACAAAGAGCTAAGACTACCGCTTTCGAAGGATTTAGAAACA